TACTTTATCATGTACTTCATAATTCAAGGAGCAATATTATTATTTCTAATATTTCAAGATGGTATCGGAGCCACCGCTCTTGGTGACTTAAAAAAAAAAAGTTCTTTACTCCCACCACCGCCGCCGGTAATTCCGGCGACGGCGGCTCCACCCTATTCACCTCTATTTTCTTTTTTCTTCTTTATCCTCAAATCAACTTCTCCAATCAAATGAAAAAAAGAAAAGAAAAAAAACTCCTGTTGAAATCACACACAAAAAACTATCAAAGGAGGAACTTCTCTCTTGTCATCTCCATGGTTCTTCAAAAAAAAATCCAACTCCTCACAAACTCTCTCAGATCATCCTATCTTCTCAAAAAAAAGAAAAAAAAATGATTGTTGTTTCTCTCCAATTCACCATATCAAAATCTCAGACCCAAATTTTTTTTTCATCACCAATTCTTAACCTACTTTTTCTCTTTAAAATCACTCATTGTAATCATCAACCTCCCTTCTCTTTCTCTTCTATTGAACCAATAAAAATCTAAATTAAATCAGCACAAAAGCAAAGCCAAAAGGGGAAGTAGTGAAAGAGGAAATAAGACCTCTACAACTCACCCCTTCAAGAAGGAAATAGGGCATTGCCCGGATCTAAGAAAAAGACAAAAAATGTCAAGGATCTTCAGTCAAACATGCACCTCCAGTAGCCTTTTCTATTCTTCTTCGACGTCAGCAGCTACAAGCGCACGTCAACCTTCTCTCTTCTTCTTCGACGTCAGCAGCTACCAGCGCACGTCAATTTCTCTCTTCTTGAACGATGTCTGCAGACTGCAGCTACCAGTGCACGTCAGACTTCTCTCTTCTCCAACGACGTCAGCAGCCACCGGCGCAAGTCAGACTTCTTTCTTCTCCAACGACGTCAGCAGCCACCGGCGCACGTCAGACTTATCTCTTCTCAAAGTTTCCAGTTTCCAGCTAGTGTCCAAGCTTCCTCTTGCTTCAGCCAGAGTTCGGCTTGAGGGGGGATGTTAGACAATAATACAAATAGAACTTCTTGTAGTATTGGTTATGGTAGTGTTTCATTATTAGTCAGCTTTCTAATCCTATTTGTGGTAGATGTTGTATGTTAGTTAGTTTCCATTCTCTATTCCTAGTTGTGTTAGAAGTCTCTCCTATATATACTTTATCATGTACTTCATAATTCAAGGAGCAATATTATTATTCTAATATTTCAAGAGAAAGTATTTCAAGATATACGGATGGTGGTGTGTTGCATCGCTCACATGGAGCAAGCTCAGACTTTTGGAAGCTAGCTAACGACACCCTAATACCTGCTCTTTTGTACTATGTTTTCGTTTTTTTCTCCTTAGTGGTTTGTTTGTATTATTAGCTTGAGCAAGTTATGAAGCAGGTTGATAGCGGGATGTTTGTTAGAAAATATTTAACAAATATATGCATTTAATGTGGAGAGTTGGATGTGTAGTCACGAAACCGCGTGCTTCATCATTACTCTTTATGGCAAAATGAAAAAGCAAAAGCTTGAAAAATGCATGCTTTATGTTTTCGATAATCGAGAAAAATAAATGTGTGGCTCAAGGCAATCTTTATGAGTAATCAAATACAAGAAAAGATTTAACAAATATATGCATTTAATGTGGAGAGTTGGATGTGTAGCCATAAAACTACGTGCTTCATTGACAATCGTAGTTTTTCGGGTAGTAAACCTTCCTAGTAAAGGGTTAGTTTTCTCTTCGAGTGTCGGGTCTCTCGAGGAGTGGACGAAGGGAATTAGTTATTTTTTTTATAATTAGGCGAATGTTAGGATTGGTTTATGAAAGTCTTCTCGAAACGATTATGAAGAGATGAGTGTAACAACAATAAATAAAATTCACATAGTATAAGTGTAGATCTGGACCAAGGGTCAAGACATCATTTGGATCTACTTTATCATATTTAATTAATAATTGGGATAATAATATTTCTATTATTACTCACCTATTTCTAAGTTTGTACTTAATCTGTTGCCCTTGAATATCATAGCCCTTCGACATACAATATTTTCTCAATAAATAGCTAATTAAATCTTTCGATATTAATTAACTAAATAAGGCAAGAACAATAGACTAACCATTCCAACATTAATTTAACATTAAAAGTATACAACCAAACTAGTCCAGACCTAGAAATCCGGACCCTAACTCATACTATGCAAACATAAATTAAAACAACATTTTATTAAATAAAGAAAACGTACAGCTTCCGTACAAGCGGAATAGAACAAATCTGAAACAGAAATTCTCCAAAAAATACTTTAAAACTATTTCTACACTAATCTAGATTGAAAAATTGGAATAGTAGGCTCAAATCCCGAAGTTGGGAATGAAAGTGATAGATGGAATGGGGTGAATTGCGCTGTATTTATAGGAATGGAGCTGAAGTGTCCAACTCCAGGCGTCCAGATCTGGACGCTTGAGCTGTCTCAGCCAGCCAGAGTCTCCCACGTGTCATTCTTGGAGCACAATTTACGCCAAGCGTCCAAGTTAGACGCCTCATACCCCTGGTCCGTTGGGCTTCGCGGCTGGTACGTGATTTTGGCCCGATTTCGCTCCTTTTTGGCCCGAACGCTTTTTTTGACCTCCCGGAAGCTCGTTCAAGCCCGAATCTTGATCCTTAGATATTTTATTCCCCTTTTCTCAAGAATTTGATCATAAAATGGATGACTTCTGATGATTTCATGTGAAATCCCTTTTTATGATTCTTACAACAAAAGTGAGAGTTTTTCTCTCCTTGGAAACACAAATTTATGAGATGATTAAGTATGGTTTGCATGCAATAACGTTTAGGATATGATGTAAATGATAAGAACGAAATGGACTTATCATTCATCATTACTTTTTATGGAAAAATGAAAAGGCAAAAGCAGTTTGAAAAATGCATGCTTTATGTTTTTCGAGAATTGACAAAAAGAAATGCATGGTTCAAGGCAATCTTTATGTCTAATCGAATAAAAGAAAAGATTTAACAAATATATGCATTTAATATGGAGAGTTGGATGTGTAGCCATAAAATCGTGGCTTCATCGGAGAGTGTATTGAGAATAGGGCCCTCCCCATTGGCGAATCTAGAAAAACAAGTCACTGGGGAAGACCTTAATCATTAGGGTCACTCTTGTAAACTATCAATTTATTTTTAGATAATATAATGCATAAAAAAATTCACTTGGGGCGCGTGCCCCCAATGTGATAAGTGGCTGGATCCGCCACTGGCCTTTCCTTTCTTTTATCTTATCTTCTACTTCATTTAAGTAAAGGACTAGGCTTTTCTCCTGTATCTTAGAATAAGGATCAGAATCATCCTTACAATCATTTTGTGGCTCCAACTCGTGTTCTTGGGAAAGCAAAGCAGCAAAGCTATTTTTCGTGGCAGGTATAAAAGGTGTAGCTTGAGCCAACAATGTTCTTCTAGGAAGAGGGGGAAATAGAACTGTATATGGAGAACCTGTATTCGCTTGATGTCCCCCATGGTGAAAAAAGGGTTGATTCTCACTGTTTTATATATATATATATATATATATATATATATATATATATATATATATATAGGGGCCGGTTCCCGTGAGAATGCACCTTATGGAGAGAAATGAGAATAAAATCTAGCCGTCGGATCTGATGCATCGTGCGGCTCAGATTGCATCCTGCGCTCAGATTTTGAGATAGTGCATTTTCGAAGGTTTATGATGCATTTCAACGTGATGCATTTGCGCACCATTTTGGTGCATCTAATTTTGATGAAATCTTGACCCTTAGATCTCACAATCTAAAGCACCAGATTCATTCTCATTTCTCTCCTAAGATTGCATTCTCACCAGAACCAATATATATATATATATATATATATATGTATGTATGTATGTATATGTGTATATGTGTGTGTGTGTGTGTGTAATCATTAGTTACATCAATTGGTCATATACGATGGATCCTAAAGATGGGGCCGGGGTATTTAGTAGCAATAATAGAGAAAGAAAGCTTAATGAATGTATTTGTGTGCTAAGAATTTGATCCCCCTAGCTCCTTTGTTGGACAAGCGGTTCAATTTATACAATCAGGCTTTGGACCAAGGTCCAACTATTCTAGGTTTTGGCCCATGGGTCTCATCAATTACATTTATCATTTCTCTATGACAGACAACTTTCTAATATCACTTCTTAATGACACTTATCTTGTTGACCATGTCCATGACATGTCGCCCTCTTATGACGTCCTTAGCTTGACTCCCCAAGAGTTGACCTTCACACCCAAAGCGCTGCATTTGGGATGCCGAGGGTACCACGGTGTGCGAAGCGTGACATATGGGTGCGGTCTCATCGCTTATCCCATTTTTGGCTGAGCGGGTACTATTGGCCGAACATATATGACCCTCGTGTAGTTTACGTTTACATCACATGTCTAGCCATGTGTACGTAGGCCCAGGAAGCCAATCCCATATCTCCATCAAGAGTTCCCCACTCCTAAAGGCGAGATTTTAAGACGAAAGGAAGTGTTTTCATCTGATATGGACGAGGGATGAATCCTTGTCGCATGCCCAACCTGGTCAAACTCGACTGGTTACGCTCGGCTGCCTGATTCGGATGAGCATGTCGTTGTTTGATCGCGTTAGGCTAGACTAGACGTGAATTGTGACAGTTGGGAGACATCAATATTAACCTCGACAACCCATGTTTTTTTGTGCACCATTAACAAAGAATACAAGCAATCAGAACACATACAACAGTATAATCATAACTCAAACTATACAAATATGCTAAAAGAAATTTAACGAAGTATATATACGTTAAAATCATGTTAACTCCATAATCTCAATGCAAGAAATGAACGTAATAATCATATATGTTAACTCCATAATCAAATACCAAAACAATACTCCAGATAGTATTGAATCAAAGACAAATGCTATTGTGAATCAACAGTCTGCAACATTTTAGGTGGACCTCATATGAGGGTGATAAGCACATGCTTACTACCCTGATAACTATCTTTTTTGTAAAGTAAAAAAGCTTAATCCTCATATAAAGTTCCACCTAAAATGTTGTGACTCAAGTTTACCAAAACAAAGCCCTCGTAATCAAAATTGTTTAGTGTGGAGAATATGAAAATGTAAAAATACTTAACTCAAGCATTTGATATTTAATGTAATGTCTGCACTCACAAACATTAGATATGTGTGTGTGTCTGTATTTGTGCACTAATGCCAAATGCTTGAATGGATGAATTGAGAGAGAGAGAGATGCTTAGAAAATGTCAAGAATTTCGAGTATGAAATTGTTGCAGAGTGGGCAGTTCCCCTTCTCGGCCCATAGCTCCCGGGAACATAGCCTGCAGAAGGTGTGGCCGCACGGCTCGAAAAGCTCGCCCTTGTGCCGAACCATACACACGCAGCAATTGTGGAACTCTCCGCCGCCGTAATCGTCGCAGCTCTCCCCGTAATCCTCTTCCTCCTCCTCGTCCATCGCGTACCCGCCTTCCGATTCCGCCAGCAACGCCATCAGCGACATCCTCACCGGTTGCTCTCCTCCTCCCCCCTCCTCCTCCTCCTCCTCCGCGCTTTTCTCTTCTTCGCCGCCACCGCCCGTCTCTTCGTCTCCGCCGCCGATCGATCTCCGGATTGACATCGAATTCTGTAGCCTCAGGCTCCTCTCCGCCGCCGCCTGACTCGGATTCTTATGCAACATTCGGCTAGATCCGGATCTCAGATCTCTCCGCGACGCCGAGAATTCCGGCTTGTACTCGTCGGCCGGATACTCTGCGTCGGCGCCGTGATTCGACGAAGGAAACCGCGAGGAAAGCCTCCGAGTCATCGAGCGGCTGTTCGTCGGATTGATCGGGACGTCGGATGCGGGGACGGGGACGGTGGAAGTCCAGGCGGCGCCGTCGACGTCGCGCTTCAAGCGAAGCTTCTCCTTGAAATGTTTCCATGTCTTCTGGTTGTCTTTGCCGCCGTTGGGTTCGTCCTTTATGACATCCAGAAGGGTCCGCGTCTGATGGGTAGTCACCGCCGACATCTCTCCTCCGCCCAGTACGGCCAATAACGTCAGACCGGAGAGATTTTCACGGTGGCCGTGAGAATTTGTTCTTTCATTTAATATCAAAGATCTGCTCCGTCCTGCAACAACGTGATGCATTCACCTCTACTGGAATGTGATCGAAAAAATTTGGCTCAATATTTTATCTCCTTTTTATTGTTTTTTTTAAATTTGTTTTTCATTGGGTTTGTTATGGATGGAGGGTGAAAGGAGATTTGCATGTTATGGTTCCAATTCAATAATATGGAACCATTTTGTACTCCAATGATTTCTGCTCCATTTTTTATCTTGCATCAACATTTTGTGTTAGTATAATGCTAATTTTTGTTTACGCACTAACACTTTGTGTCAGTGTAAATTTTTGTTAACGCACAAACACTTTGTGTCAGTGTAATTTTTTGTTAAAGCATCAATACTTTGTATCAGTGTGAACCATCAATATGTTGGTGCATATCTTTGGTGTACAAATAAGTACAAATTTTGAGATACATGTAGTATGCTCCCAATAATATTCCACGTTCACCACACATCAATCTCTAACAAAGATTGGTGTGTCAACCAATTTGAAGTAGTCATTTCCACCCTTTTAAATCTTTTTCTAATGAATTAAAATAGAACTTTTACTCCCTCTGTCCTCCATAGATCTTCCCAGATACTATTCACGGGATTAAACTTTACTCACTTTGTTTGCTCAATTTTACTAGTTATTTCATAAAATAATATAGTCTTGTCACCTCTAGTTTTGTAGAACTTTTCATGTAGTTTATTATTCCGTACTATATAAATTTTATTTTAAAATTTTACTCCTATAATCAATTAAATTGAATTGAAAATAAAGTCGGTCAAGCCTCGTAACGCATATGTGTAAGATCATACATAGACAGAGGGAGTATTTTTTATTTTAAAATATAATTTATAATGTCAATAATATTTACACATCCTTTATATATAAATTTGAGAGCCAAATCTCCTAGAAACTAACATATGTGAAGCTTTAGAGACGACATGTGTCAAGTCTTAGAGATGACATGTGACAAATTTAATATGAATTGATTTCTTTTTTATTCTACTTCCTTATTTTTCATCTCTTCAAATATCGATCACATCTTTTCACTCCTTGTTAAAAAAATGATAATTTCCTATATATTTCAAAATTCATGAATCTAAATTTTGTGTTTACATCAAAAGATCTAAGAGATTAAGATGTTTTACTAGATGGTTAATGAAAAGATACACATCGTGATATAGGTTTTTTCCTTATGGATAAATTTTAACCAAATATAGTTTTAATTTCTAAAATAAAATAAGGATTGCATATATATATCACCTAACTAAAGATAAAATGTTTAATAAATAAAAAAAACTACATTGTGTGCAGTGTCTCAATATTTAATATGGAAAATAATAATAAGGAATACTATATGATTTAGTGTATTCTATAATTTTTTTCTAATAATTATAATTTTCTTGAATATATAACACAGAATACAAATAGAGAATCTATCAATATTCAAATTTTGTTATGAAATGTTATATATCCAAGTCAAGTTACCGGTTGTGTTTTAATTGTTAATTTATATAGGAAAAAAACCTTTCTTTTTCAAAGAAATATTTTTCTTACAAAAATAAAATATTTTCTTATTCAAAATATAATTTATAAAAAGATATAATTTCATCATGTTTATTAGTAACAGTTTTTTGGGGGTCTTTACTTTATCGGAACATATGTTTCATAGAGAAGAAAATAATACGGAGTAGTAGAAATATATTAGAAAATCAAAATATAACTTTGATATGTATATACAAAGTATTTATATTTTAAAATGCTGAATGAAAAAAATATACTATCTCCGTCCCAAAAAGATTTACACGTTTTGACTAAAGTTGAAATTAAGGGAGGGATAATTTTGTATTGACTTTCCAAAAATACCCTTGATGTAATGGGTAAAAGTAGGATGTGATGTGTAGATTATTAGGAAAAAGGTATGATGTGATAGATAGAGTTTAAAAAAGTAAGGGATAAAAGTAGTTTTTTAATAGAAATGGAAAGGATATTGTGAGACGCAATTTTCTTGACACGCGTAAATCTTTTTGGGACGGAGGGAGTAGTTTTGAATAGAATATTTTAGGATAAAATAATTAACATAAAAACACAATATTTGTATATTTATGTTTAAAAATAGTCGCATAAGGAGTTATTTTGTGATTATTGACAATGTTTTTACATTAAAAAAACTCTCAAACTTTGACATACGTAACCTAATTTATTTTTAATTTTATTTTGTAGTGATATATTTTTTATACGATAGAAAAGTTAAAAATAAAATAAATTATATACTAAAATAGAAAGTTTGATGATATTTAATATGAAATTATAATTACTGATATTTTCAAATAATTGGATTTTTATTTATTATATAGAACTAAAACTAAAATTCAAAATCTGTACATGGAAGCCACCTAATTAAAAATAATGTTTCCTTACATAATATTAAGAGTGAGAAATGAATAATGTTTCTTATTAAAAAGTTTATATTATTTTTGTGAATGTCTATCTTTATTTAATTAAACAAACAAACATTATTTGAAAATTTATATTGAAAAAAATGAGTACCTACACTCTCTATCAATATTTGTTTAATTTTATCTAATTCATTTATTTATTGATCAAAACCTATTTAATACCCATCCTCATTGATATATTATATATATATATATATATATATATATATATAGATTTTGGTTCTGGTGAGAATGCAATCTTAGGAGAGAAATGAGAATGAATCTGGTGCTTTAGATTGTGAGATCTAAGGGTCAAGATTTCATCAAAATTAGATGCACCAAAATGGTGCGAAAATGCATCACGTTGAAATGCATCATAAACCTTCGAAAATGCACTATCTCAAAATCTGAGCGCAGGATGCAATCTGAGCCGCACGATGCATCAGATCCGACGGCTAGATTTTATTCTCATTTCTCTCCACAAAGTGCATTCTCACGGGAACCGACCCATATATATATATATATATATATATATATATATATATATATATATATATTAATCCTCATTGATATATATATATAGAAATTACTCCCCTTCATCTTTTGTCCTTATTGATATTCATGTTATAGATATATACATATACATATACACTACTTATTTATTTTAGTTTTTTTAGTGAACTTTAAGATATATTGAATCTAAAGATCGATCCTAAATATATTAGAGAATTGGCATGTGAAGCCTACATTATGTGTTAAAATTTAAGGTTATATGATAAAACTCAACCTGAAGTTTGAGTACATATTATGTCGAAAAAAATTTCATTTCTTTAGTTTTTTTCTCTTTTGGCTAGTGAACTTGAAGTTCATATTCTGATTTCATATGCTCGAAGCATTAGCAGTGAAATTCAAACCTGAAGATTTGAGTATGCCACATGAATAAATAGGTGACATTATTATTTACTATGCAACAAAGAAATAATAATAATAATAATAGTAATATTAATATTATAGACTTATTATTTGTGATTATGTAATGTGCTCTAATTTATCATTATGTCTATAATTTTGCTCTAATTGTAACCTCCGCTATAATAATAATAATAATAATAATAATAATAATAATAATAATAATAATGCATAATAAATAATAATAATTGAGACCCTTCAAGTACCTAAGCCATTTTTTAATAAAAAAACCCTATTATTCAATCAATACACATTAACTAATTTATTTTTCACAATAATAAAAAAGAGTCAACATGTTCATCAAAACACAATATATGGGTATATGAGATACTACCTAAGGTCTTATAATATTCAATTACCACCTGAAGTGGCTGATTTTTAGTATAAAAAATCTCATTAAAAGAGACGTTTTGATATTTCAAGACCTTTGTTCTAATCTATATATGATTCTTCATCGATTTTTCTGAAGAATGATTTAGATTATATATTATAATCAAAGGAGTGATTATACATATTATATTTTTTTTAGATGTAAGAGCTTCTTTTCTCTTGTGATAAAAGAAGTTAGTGTGGATATAATTTTCTTTTTATACAAAACTGATAGATAGCTTCAGAAGAGCATTGCATAATAAGAGATGTAAGACATTACTCAAATAATGACTAATGGATGATGATCAATGGTCATACATTGGAAAATAAAAACATATAATCCTATATTGAAAAAGTCATTATGTTTTAATCCTATTTAGGTAAATTCTCCATTTCATGAAAAATTTACATTAAATAGGACTAAAACATTAGCCATTTCCCAATGTAAGATTTAAATTTTTTTATTTCGTAAATGAGTAAAGTGCATTGTTTACCCCCGTACTCTTTAGAAATTGCATGTTTTATCCTTGAACTATAAAAATTGCACCGTTTACCCTCGAACTCCTCGAAAATTGCACGATTTACCCCTGCATACTAAAAAATGCACCAAATACCCTTGAACAAATTAAATCGTTGCATCGTTGGTCCTAAACTATTAGATAAGGAGTGCGTTGCTTCCACGCACAACAATTGTGAATTTGATTCATCTGACCCTTGTGAATTTTCCAAAGTATCTTTCCCCAAAATTGTCGTATTTATTTAAATGTTCATGAGTAAACAGTACAATTTTCGAAGAGTTTAGGGATATTTGGTGCAATTTTTATTGTTTAGGGGTAAAGCGTGCAATTTCTGAAGAATTCAGGGGTATTTAGTGCACTTTTTAATGTTCGGGGGTAAACCATGCAATTTTCAAAGAATTCGAGGGTAAATGGTGCACTTTTCTCTTTCTTAAATAGGACTTAATAATGTCTAGCGAGAGGAATAATGTCGAGTGATGGTAGACATTTACTCGAATAATAACTAATGGATGATGACCAATGGTCTTACATTGGAAAATAAAAACATATGATCATATATTGAAAAAGTCATTATGTATTAGTCCTATTTAGGTAAATTCCCCTAATATCAATGGAGTTCTTATGACAAAAATTTTTGTTGTTATAATATGGTGTTCCGTACCAAAAATTAATGTTCATTATCCCTCCTAACTACCTCCTATCCCAACTCCCAAGCACCTCTTGACATTTTTGGGTAAAAGGGTGCAAGGGCTCTTGGGGATTTCAAGGGATATGACAAAAATTTCTATTGTCAAAAGAATCGAGCCACCTTAATTAACAAAATTGCAAATAATGTTCTTTAAAGTACTTTTGTTCAATCGTAATAGCGCGTTCACTCAAGAAGTCAAGAATATTAATTTGGGATGCTCTAAGAAGAAGGTGAATTTTGATCAAAAAAAAAAAAAAGAAGAAGGTGAATAACAAAGTCCGTTAGGGAGTAATCTATTATATATACAAGAAGACAATTAATTCCTCTTCCTAGATCTAACGGTGCAATTTCAATTTCACATGCGATCCAAAGATTCAATTTGAAAGTGACAATTTTGAAATAAAAGCCCAATTGATGGACATTTATAACTCCCATTAGAAATTGTTTTCTCCGTCCCCTTCTAATTCCGTTTTATGAACCCAAATGGCGTCCTGCCATCTCCCCTCCCTTCGTTTCCTTCATCATCGATAGTTGTCGTCCTCTGCTTTTCGACGTTCATCCGCACTTCGAACAACCGACAAAAAACAACGGATGTATCTCCCCATCAACCCACGATTTCAATTTCTCCACTAATTGAGGTGAGGCATTTTCATATGTCTATCGTTAGAGTTAGTTTGTAGACTAGAATCATAATCGAATGAATTGTATGTGCAGTTTATTGTAGATCGAATTGGATGAATTGAATGTTGAATTGTAGAAATATATAATTTAAGGTAGACTTTAAACTATCTTTGCACCCAGAAGTAGGGTGAGCATGGTACGCTATGGTACGGTGTTTAGCTCGTACCGATGCCGTACCAAATGTTTCGGTTCGGTGTGGATTTTACTCCGTACCGATCCCGATCCCGAGATATCGATTCGGTATGGTTTGGGATGGTTTGGTATCAGTTTTGGTACAAATCAATGTTTTAACTTAAGTATTATTTTTCATATATAGTCTGGCCACAAAAGATTAATTATAAAATAACTTTCAAATATCACAAACAAGGAATGTAATATTTTAAAGTCTAGTACGAATTACTATTTATTGAATTGTTTTGTTATAAAGGCTATATTCAAAATTTACTCATTATTTTATTAAGAACCCTTACTATTAGTTTTAAACCGCAATGATTTTATTACAATCTATTCGAAATATTTGTAGGATTGAAAGTAATCCATTTAGATATGGAGTTTTAAAATCACATTTCAAGTAGGATTGAAAGTAATCCCTTTTTAACTTTTAATTTAAACATCGGTTAAACTAATTCGAAATACTACTCTAGCTAACAATAATATGGAGACCAGAGTAAACCTGACACGTCAGCTGCTCATCTCTCCCTTCCGCCGCCACCGCAGCGAACTACTCATACGGATGTTCCATAGATTCTGCGACGACACGCCGCCGCAGCCGCCGGAAACTTCGACAAGTTCCGATTATTTCTGCGTCGAAGACACTTCAGAAGAATTTTACTCACATCACGTCCTGGCTTCCCACGAAAACGCGTTCCGCTTCTTCGCCGGCGTCCTCTCCCGCCGTTTCGGATGGAATCCGTACCGCCGGCGTAGTGTTCACCGGGGAATCGCCCACCGTCTCGCTAACGGCGCCCTGAGACGTCCGTTGAGCAGTAGCTATTTCGACGCCGGGGTTTTCATCTCCGTCGAGCTGGAAACGGTTTACGTTGAGGACTTTTACGGCGACGGAGAGGGAAGGGCGGCGGGGTTGCCGGAGAGTGATATCATGCGGCTGGAGTCGGGAAAGTGGGACGGCCGCGGCGTCGCCGGGGAGTCGTGCAGGGTGTGTTTGGAGGGAATGTTGGACGGAGAAACTGTCGCCAGGTTGACGCCGTCATGTTCGCATGCATTCCACAAGGATTGCATTGTTGTGTGGCTGAAGAAAAACCAAACGTGCCCTCTCTGCCGTACCGTCGTCAACTTGCAGAATAAGACCTGCGTAAGTGGTCACCATTATATTGTCACATTTTTAAAAAAATAAATAAATAAAAATAACAAACCATACGTGCCCTCTCTGCCCTACCGTGCAGCTCAAAAAAGTCATTCCAATTGGGATACTTCTTTACAAAATTGATATAGTTTAACTCCGAAAGCCTGTTATCCAGTTCTAAATTAACTCATCTCACAACTACTTAAATTATTGTTTGTCTGCAAGTTTAGTTGACACTTAAACAAAAAATTTTGTGCCCAAAATTAACTAAATTTACACTGCACAATTGACATGGTTAGTTGAGGATGGGTTTACAATGGGACTAGGTGAGGGGTGTACTAAGAGTTAGACGGTAGGAAGTATCAATTTTAGGAACGAAGTATCGTATATGGGTAGTGCCCTCCGTGGCCACTCAAAGAAAGTGGCCATGGAACCAACCTGGGTTTTTTTATCAGCTACTAGGTTTGCCTAAGCATATTTGTCTAGTTTAATTTTTTTAGTCAAATAGAACAAACTTTGATCGAGTTCCAATTAATCTTAATTTGTTTTGCTTATTGGTATGATGGTATAAAATTTTGATTATTTTCAACAAGATAAATCTAATGAAATCATTTTCATATTTCGTCTAGCTCGAAAAAATCAAACTAGACTAATATAATGAGATGAAGGGAGTATATGCTAACACAATTAAACTTTTGATATTATTTTACAAGATAAATGTATTAAAACCATTTTATACTTGAACTATAAACAATTAACAGTACTTTGTATAATTTTTGTTTAATTATTTTTTAAAGTTTATTTAGTTTAACTAAAAAAAGTCAAACAAATTAAACAAATAATCGACAGACAACAAGTATGTATAGAGTTTAATTTGTTATAGTCCAATCTCTCCCTAACCAGGCCACCCCCTAAACCCTCATCCTAGCCCCACCCCTAGCCCCACCCCAGCCCTGCTCTAAGCTCATCTCCAAATGTGTGAATATTATGGGGGGTGGTGGGGGTTTTAAGAGGTGAGTTAAGGTGGTAGAAACCATCAATTTTTCGATTGGAGCATTGGAGGTGCTCAAAAAACGCAGTGGCACTGCTAGTGGCTTCGTTGACCAATGTCAACAGAATCGTACCCAGTTTATATTCATATATGATGTTTCAAAATGAATCCCTTTTACAACTAAATTTATAGCATAATGTAATGTATTAAGTACCTCATCCCAGTTCAATTTATGTTCTTCTACATTTTTTATCAGGTAACTATCGGGCGGATCATGAAGACGGCTAAAGAAATGTTTTATGCTCTTTTTGTTTTATTCTTAATTGTTATAACTATTACATGTGTGTGAATACGGAGTATGTATTCATAATTCAACTGGGTTGTTGTATGCATCTGTGGATATAAAACGTATTAACATTATATTTTAGTTTAAATACTTTTATGTTATGAATGAAAAGAATTTGATTCAAATCCTAATTCAAAATTTATAAGTTTCCCAAATATGAAATTTGAGCCAAATCCGGATTTGAAATCCAAATCCATATTCCCAAATATAGCATTAATGTCAATTGACGACACATTTGAAAAAAAAAAGAATACATGCATGGGTATAAACTTTTAAAAGATTAAACTAATTTTATTGCTCCAAAATTATTCGGCTAAGGACGTACATATGATAAATAAACAATCTTGCTCCAAGTGAACAATTATTCAACGGGATTGACTCCAGTGAGATGACATCTTACGGTGCGATGACATGCTTCGGTCAGATGACGCAAAGCTCACCACTGCCCACTGCAAAGCTCACCAAGCACCACTACAAAGCTCACCAAACTATAAGGCAAAGCTCACCATATTTTTTTCAACACTTTGAATTTTTTTTGAAAAAATAAAATCAAAGGAAGGAGTGCTGACTAGACTTTGACCGTTGACTCCAGCTTTGACCGCCGCCTGCCGCCGTCCGCCGGTCTCCGGTCGCCGCCAGTCGCCGCAGCCAGCCGCCGGTTTCCGCCGCTGCTCCGCCGCCTGCTGCCGCCGTTGACCGGTGGTTGACCGGTGTTGCTATTTTATTTTTAATTAATTTTTTAATTTTCAAAATAAAAAAAAAGGTGAGTTTTAGGGTTCAAAGTGGTGAGTTTTGCTTTATTACCAGGTGAGCTTTGCATTGTCCATTCGTGAGCTTTGCAGTAGGCAGTGGTGAGCTTTGCGTCATCTGACCGAAGCATGTCATCGCACCGTAAGGTGTCATCTCACCGGAGTCAATCCCTTATTCAACATATAATTAGTACCGCTCGGGCTATAGTTTATGGCCCTAGTGAGACCATTTGTTTCGGGTAGAAGGTATACATACTTCCATACTTTTTACTTCCTCCGTCCCTAAGTATTCATAACATTTGCTTTTTCAGCAGTGTCGGAAACTTTTGTTTATTTCGACGTTTTCATTGATTATTTGATAAAATAAAATATTCTTGACACCTCTTATTTTGAAGAACTTTTCATATAGTTTTTTTATATGTAAATTTTATTTTTTATTTCTTTACCAATATGTAAATAAAATGAATTGAAAAACTTGATATTTTGCCTCGGGAATACAAATGTGGCAAATAATTTGGGACGGATGGAGTATTATACATTAATGTCACATCAAATACTATCGATTCCATACTTTTCATACAACAAGTAGCGGTGTACATTTGCCAATTCGTCAACTTCATATATATATAGATAACCTAAACTAAGAATAAAAATTAATTTTAAAATCATTTTTCAAAATTTAATGTTATTTGTAATTTAATCTTTCCCTGGGACGGTCGACCATTGTTCCTTTCTCCACGTCTGCTATTGTATCCACGTCCAGGGGACGGTCGACCGCGGTAGCCTCCTCTACCGCGACCTCGACCGTTTGTAGCGAGAAGTGCTGTGCGAGGTTCGGTGATGGTAGACTCGGTGAGGCTTAGTTTATTCTCCATCTCCAGGTTTATTTCTTCAAAGATTAGCCATCTAGAAAGCTGATTTAACGAAATATTGGTGTTGTTCATGCGAATGTTTTGCTTAAAGGATGAGTATTTGGTGGGAAGACCACAAATAACAGCATTCACCACATCACGTTCAGAAATCTCTTCTTTCAAGGCATCGAGATCCGAGAGAATAGTTGCCACATCATCAAGGTATTGTGTCATAGTTTTGGTACCTTTACGAAGAGTGTGGAGTTTGTCCCGAAGCTGATAAATATGAGTGTGGAGTTTTGGTACCTTTACGAATAGTTATTCTAATGTATAATTCTAATTTTACAAAAAAATAATCATAAAATAAAAATATTATTACATTTTAATATGAATGATTATTCTAATATATGAATTAACTATTTTTATTTTATTAAAAAATAATCATTAAATAAAAAATATTGATTATATTATAATATGAATTATCATTACAATTTTCAAACGTTATTATAAAGTCAAATTAAATTATTAATTTGAAATTTTAAATTAAATCATAATTAATCAGATCAGATCTAATCAGATCAGATCCAATCATATCAGATCAGATCCAATCAGATCAGATCAGATCAGACCAGATCAAATCAGAACTTATTAGAATCAGATCAGATTAGAAAAAGTAAGTTGAACGGACCGGAGCCTTAGAAGCAAAGCTTATTACTGGGAGAATGATGGGGGAGGGATATTGATTCCTAGGATTTCATAGACATTACCATACAAGGTTACTTAGTGCATTGCTTATTAAATTTAGAATTTAATAAAAATTATATTTACATCCATGGACATATAGTTTTTCAATTGGAGGATATTATATACATACATACATACATACAGGGGCCGGTTCCTGTGAGAATGCACCTTGTGGAGAGAAATGAGAATGAAATCTAGCCGTTGGATCTGATGCATCGTGCGGCTCAGATTGCATCATGCGCTCAGATTTTGAGATAGTGCATTTTCAAAGGATTATGATGCATTTTAGCGTGATGCATTTTCAAACGATTTTGTTGCACCTAATTTTGATGCAATCCTGACCCTTAGATCGCACAATCTAAAGGACCAGATTCATTCTCATTTCTCTCCTAAGATCGCATTCTCACCAGAACCAAAATCCATACATACATACATACATACATACATACATATATATATATATATATCTATATATATATATATATATATATATATAGATTTTGGTTCTGGTGAGAATACAATCTTAGGAGAGAAATGAGAATGAATCTGGTGCTTTAGATTGTGAGATCTAATGGTCAAGATTTCATCAAAATTAAATGCACCAAAATGGTGTGAAAATGCATCACGTCGAAATGCACCATGAACCTTCGAAAATGCACTATCTCAAAATCTGAGCGCAGGATGCAATCTGAGCCGCACGATGCATCAGATCCGACGGCTAGATTTTATTCTCATTTCTCTCAACAAGGTGCATTCTCACGAAAACCGGCCCCTATATATATATATATATATATATATATATATATATATATATATATATATATATATATATATATATATATATATATATATATATATATATATATATATATATATATATATCAGTTATACTAAAAAGTATATTTTTTAGATATTATTCATTTTTAATTTTGAAAAGAAATTTTTCAAATTTAAATTCATTGGAATTTATATGTTCCTATGCATCGCACGAGAGAAATACTAGTTGATATAATAAAAATCAAATCGCAACACAGTAAGGCTTTGTTTCGTTCAACTTATTTTTCTGATCTGATCTGATTTTAATAAGTTCTGATCTGATCTGGTCTGATCTGATCTGATTGAATCGGATTTAATCTGATCTGATTAGATCTGATCTGATTGGATCTGATCTGGTCTAATCTGATTAATTATGATTTGATTTAAAATTTAAATCAATAATTTGATTTGACTTTATAATAACGTTTGAAAATTGTAATGATAATTCATATTATGATATAATCAATATTTTTTATTTTATTATTACTTTTTTATAAAATAAAATTAGTTAATTCATACGGAGTATATTAGAATAATCATTCATATTATAATATAATAATATTTTTTATTTTATGATATATTTTTTTTTGAAATTAGAATATTAATTTAACATTTTAATAATTACTTCATATATACATTAGAATAAATATTTAATATATATATATATATACATTAAAAAGTAATTAAATTTAAATAATCAATATATAGAAGAGATAGTATTTTTATTAAAATATCTCATCCTTATAAAAGATTAAAATTTTAAAAACTCAAATTACAAGTAACAATAAAAATGTATTTTAAAAGTAGAATTAGATTAACATTATCAATGTAATTTAAAAATAATTTTTCCGACGTCTAATAATTAAAGATTACTTTCTCAATTTTCTATTTAACTTGTTTCTAAAGTATATTTTTTTTCATTTTTAGAAGAATAATAGTGATGATGATAATAATAATAATACTACCTCCATCCCAGAATATTTATCCACTTTCATTTTTACACACCATCCAATGCACTTCTTTAATCAATTTTATCTTGTAATTTGTATATTAAAAAATTATAGAAATCATATATTAATAATCTATATGTTAAGACAAATCAAACAAGATCACACATGACTATATTTAGGCTTACACATTGAGAGAATTTGATGAGTCAAAGTGCTTAGATGAACAATTCCAAAAGTCAAAACTGGACGAATACTCTGGGACAGAGGGAGTAATAATAAAGATAATGTTAATAATAATAATAATAATAATAATAATTCTTGATGAGATCTGATCTGATTTAGTCTAATCTGATTGGATTGAATCTGATCTTATCTAATCTGATTGGATCTGATATGATCTTATTCGATCTGATCTGATTCGATCTGATCTGGTCTGATCTGATTTTAATAAGAACAAATAAGAAAAAATAAGTTGAACGAAACACGGCCTAACTAAGCTAGTGATGCCAACAAATCCTACACTGAAGCAATATTTAAAAGCACAAAATCAAAATTGGGACTTCTCAGGCTAGCAGTACTACCCTTGAGGTATGTATTATGTATGGCAATACATCCATTATACCAAACCCTTTTTTAAGTCCATGTACGAATTCAGTACTTGACTGCGGAAAGAATCTCAAGTTGAGAACCAAGTTTCTCCTCTGCAGCCTTTTCTGCTTTGAGCCTCAATTTTATCAACTGCTTCTTCCTCTCATAGGAAGCTTGTGCTCTCTCCTTCCTCTTATTCTCTAGAGCCTATTAATCATGCAAGTTGAAGTGGTAAATGCTAGTGCCACATGTAAATATCCATGAAAATGTACACTAATTTATGAGTTCGTATATTACAGGGAATCTATTTTGACATTATGGTACTATGTTCAGTTCGAAACTGGTTCTCCCTAATCCCTTCCAAAACCCCCAGCCTACCCCATACCAACCCAATTGGTGGTGCAATGTGGGGGGTGGGGGTGGGGGGAAGGGGCTGGCAGGGGGTGAGTTGGTGTGGGGGGGGGGGGGGGGGGGGGGGGGGTTAGGAGGGGTTAGAGCGTAATAACGACTTTCAGGCCAAACAATACACCTTAGACCTCAATGTCATAATATGTCGGTTCCAATGTCAAAAAACTATAGGGTTATTATGCATCCACACGTACAGTGTTTACTATACACCTTGAATATGCCCACTTCCAAGTTACATAATGTTCATCTTCCACTTATTTTTGCACATACTTAGAGAATCCACATTTGATAATTTCACAATGCTCATACTGTTGCAAAAATAACTTTTCTTTTGGTTTCTAAACACTTCCAATCCATGAAAGATAAAAATAAAATCTTGAAAATAAAAAATATAGAAAAGCACACATTTTTTGCACATACTTAAAGCTGCACATTAAAATTTCAGTGTGTTCACATTGACATTACATAACGCTCACTAGATGTGCATCAAAGTAGGTATGGCCAAATGTTAAATATAACTTGCCATAGCCGAAGAAAGCAGGTATGCATATTCTGCTATTCACTGCATCCTAATTTAGGGAAATTGAGAAAAGAATCCAAAAGTGGGATCACATTGGGTTGTTGTTGAGAAAAAATCCAAGGTTTAGAAAAGAACCCAAGGTTGAGAACAATAAACAACATTAATTTCATAGCACCGCCGAAACATGGTTCAGATCGAGGCAAGCACAAACCCCAAGATGTTAGAATCATAGAATACAAAGGTTTCTGGGAAGAAAAAAATAAGAAGTTAATTTTAAAATTGATGGCAATTGGTTTAGACATTGTTATCATCGACTATTACTTGGACCACATTTGGTTTCTAACATTTTTAAAATATCAAATGTCTAAAACATACTCATTTCACAAAAATGTGAAGTTAATATGAGTGTTCTATTAAGAGTTAGGATTAAGCTTGACAGCTTTGGAAGAATAGAGGGACCATACATGAATGGATAGTCAATGACCATTGACCAAAAGAGACAATGACTCCAACTAATGAATTTCAAACACATAAAAAACAAATAGAAATAACTCAAGAAATGAAATTCAAACACACAAAACAATATCTGCAGATTATTAGGATTTGTACAGATTTTGTACAGGCCCAAAAGAAAGTATCAATTCATAGTTGTGAAAAGCGCACATGAGGCGCGCCTGAGGCGCGATGCGCACGAAGCGCCAGGAGTAGTGCATCGCCAACCTTGATGCGGGCGCTGTTCGTGAGGCGCGCGCCTTATTGTGCCTCGTCGCAATATGCGCAGTGTATTGATGCGCAAAAAGGCGCGCCTTGTGAACATATGTTTTTTATTTTTATCTTTTTATTAATTAGGTTTAGGGATTAGCTCTAATATTTATTATGACTAACCCCTCCCAACTTTTACGATCCCAAGGAGATTAAACGGCAAACCTACTGGGCAAATTAAACGATTGTTTTCTCTTTCTTTTATTTCTTCGGTTCAAGTAAGACTCTTTCTCACCGCAAGTCCTCCAAACCGGCAAACCGCAAGTTGCAGAAGCAGGTTAAGTCGGCTCTCTTCCTTCTTACGATATTTTCTCTCTCTCGCTGGTTTCTCTTCTTTCTACTGGCAAGTCCTTCTCTGCTTTTCATTGGTTTTTTTATAAACATATTGTTCTCTGTTTTTTAATAATATTTTGCTTTTCAAAATTATATATATATATATATATATATATATATTATTACTAATGTATATATACTAGAAATTCTACAGGTGCCTTAATCTGCGCCTCATGTTCGTGATGCGCGCGCATTATTTGCGCATCGCGCATCGAGGCACTAGAGGTCCTTTGTGCATCAGTGCGCATCACGCCTTAAATAACTATGTATCAATTACAAAAATATTCTTTTGAAAAGCATTGTATCATACAAAATGTATCAAGAATTACCTTGATGGTATCATAGTGGCTCCATCCAACCTCAGAGGAGAGTTTTCCCAATAAGCAGTACTTATGCCCAGGTTGGAGCCTCAAAACCCTATGCACAAGTCAAATGAAAAATTGAATAACCAACCAAACCAATTAAGAGAATTAAAAAAGACAATTTTGCACAAAAAAAAGGCTCACTTGAGAGCATCAGGAATAACCATCTTCTTCATCTTATCATAGGGTGGAGGCACCCCTTCATACACTTTCAATCGACCAAGAGCAGCAGCACCACGCTTAGTTTTATGTGGAATCATCCTATATATTCAAAATACCTAACTGATCATTAACTATAATCAATGATTTAAAAAATCCCAGTATTATCCAAACAGTCAATAGGGACAGCAAAATTTCTCAGGACTCTCAAACAGAACTCAAGATATGTCAATAAATGTCAAAATGGATCAAAGAAAGTGAGAATATCAATAAGTATCACTAAAGTTTAGGTAATCTCGTTATTACTATTTTCTAACCAAAATGCAAAATGCTGTTTTGTTTCGCCCAAACAAAATAATCTGAGAACGATATAGGTATTGAAATATACACAAGTTCTTCATTGAATCAAATAACCTACATTTCGATAAATACCAATAATTTGTAGATCGTCACAATGCATTTCTATACGCGTAAGTAAGAGCGCAGAGCAGAAACAAACCCTCGGATGGTACGCCAGAGGATCTTAGAAGGAGCACGGTGGTGGATTGGGCCGTGAGAAGGCTTGGTGTTCATGCGCTTGCGCAGAAAGCGGTGGTACTTCATTTTCTGACGGACAAGGCCGCCGGAGAGACAGATCTCCTCGCATCTCGTCACCACAACTCTCACACCGTTCAACAGCTCTTTGGCCAGGATCGACGCCAGCCGCCCCAGCATATGGTGCCTCGCGTCCACCACCACCCGCCGGGTGCAGATTCCCGAACCGGACACCATTGTTGACGTCTCCTCTACTGTTTTCTATCCCGCCGGCGATCAGCCAAGAGGCTCGGAAGTTTGAGAGGTATATATACTTAAGTAGGGTTTTTTGATCCGGTCTTTGGGCCATTTGGGGAGTTTAATGAGAATACCTATAGGATTTACTTGGCCCAAATTCTTGAGTACTTCTTGTTGGACATTTGGAGTGACCATAATCTACGTCCAACCTCACACCTACTTGCTTGCTTCTCAAAAAGGATTCTTAGTTTGACCAAATGTAAAACTAAACAATTATTCCCTCTATCCCAAATTACTTACCACATTTGTATTTCCGAGGCAAAATATTAAGTTTTTTCAATTCATTTTATTTACATATTGGTATAGAAATAAAAAATAAAATTTACATATCAAAAAACTACATGAAAAGTTCTTCGCAATAAGAGGTGTCAAGAATATTTTATTTTATCAAATAACCAATGAGAACGTCGAAATAAACAAAAATTTCCACGAGGCTGAAAAAGCAAATGTTGTGAATATTTAGGGACGGAGGGAGTATTAAATTGTAGTTAAATTCTAATTTTACTCTTAGTTGATGTGAAAAGTAAAATGTGATGCTTACGTTGTTAGAAAAAAAGTATAATGTGATAAGTTGGGTATGAAAGTAAAGGTTAAAGTAAATTTTTACAGTAATAGAAAGTGGAAGTGTTTTGTTGGAAGTGGAAAAAATGAATAATGAGAAAATAGAAAGAAATTTATTTGAGTGAGATGAGAGTGAATTGAGAGAGATGAGAGTAGTGCTGGACACGGTTCTGGGTAAGAATCGCCACCGGCATCAGCACCGGCGGTTCCGGAATTGAATCAAAAAGAGACACAAGCTGGAGGTTATGGAAACCGGACTCAGTATCGGTGAACAGGTGTCCGGTTTCAAGTTTTATTTTTGGGGACTGAAACCGCGGTTTCTGGTTTCACAAATTTTTTTGTTCTTTTTCCTTGGCGGCCATTGGTTGGTCCTCCTGGCAGCTGGCAATGTTGACTGCTGAAAAAACGGATATATAGTCATTGGGGCAGGGGTTTGGGGTGGGGTATTTTAACCTATAAATACCCTATTAATTTTTTTAAAAAACTTTCACAACACAATCTCTAATTTCTCCTTTCTCTCTCTCTCACACTCAAAATATCTATCTCTCAATTCTCAATTTTCATATTTATATATTTTATATTATATACTACAATCATATATTGTAAATATATTATATATTTATATTACAATATATTAATTTATAATACATTAATAAATTTATAAACTAAAAATATATAATATTACTAATATTAGAAAATAAAAATTTAGAATATTATAATATTCTAATATATTTTCTTATTTTTTATCAATATAAAAAATATATTAAAATGTCGAGAGAGTCTGGTAGAAGGTCCATAGATATTCGTGTTCTGAACCGTGGAGGTTCTAACATATTCAAAGGCAAAGCTCACGCCATGTCTGAAGGTTCAAGCTCATGTGCTTCTCAAGGGAGACACTCTGTCTCGTCTTTTCCTACAATCTCAGAGGAGTTCATAGGCGACGCTATGAGTTATCAAGAATTCAATCACTTTATGGGCGACATGGGAGATATGAATGATGTCAATCTTTTTTTTTGCCTCACTTGCTTGAACATGTGCTCACTCCTCTTGGCTATATGAACTTGTATCATGTAACATGTGAGTTATATGATCCTTATTAGGCGAAAAGTGTTCATTAATTTTTCTTCTTTAAACAATTTTTATTAGGTTCGGGGTTATGCTCAGGAGTATGCTCAGAAGTACGACCGGGATTAGGCTCAGGAGTAGGTTCAGGAGTACTCTCAAAGGTTTGATGACCAGTGTCAGTAACATCATCTTCTGTTTCATGCAAAACAGTGTCTTGTAGCAAAAGTGGTTTAGGACGACGATGAACAGTGATGTTTGTTGGGTTGAGGTCCACTTGTGCATCCCAGTAGCAGCATTACCATCAAACAATTCTGCACAAAGCTCTAGAAAAGGCAATGTAACTATTTTTAAGGATCCAGCATTTGGATGCCCCTAAACCCATAGTAAAAACAATTATTGGTTTTGTTTATAGTTAGAAGTTAAAAAAGCATTCATAGGAACATACCTTTTTAAAATCTTCCCATTCCTCGTTTGTTAAGGTAAAAGTATTTGTTTGAGCATTGTATATGTTGCCAGTTTTGTTTTTCAAATACACCCATCCACTGTATTTGGCTTTCAGATTGTCATACGCATTTCTCATCTGTTTTTGACTCAAATCAAGCCCAAACCTTTCCTTGAGAACTCTTCCTAACTTATTCCACGACTCTTTGTGCAAACTCAACCCTTTTCTACCCAACGTGATTACCTCTTCAATACAAGTCTCTAATAAGCATTTTATTTGCTCATTTGACCATTGTTGTTTATCTCCCATTTCTGTTAATTAACAAACAAGGAGCAACAACATGAACTACTACAACAATCATTAGCAACAATTAACAACAAATTTGAACTATAACAACAATAATCAACAAGAATAATCAACAACATGAACTACTACAACAATCTTTAGCAACAATTAACAACAAATTGTTCACGATTATATAAAAAAATATTAAAAACATGTAAAAAAAATATTGTACAAATTGTTGCCAAGGATGAGATTTGTTAATATGTCTTGAATCTATATTGTGTTGCTGCTACGCAGATTAGTAAACGGGGGTCTCGCTGTTGTTGTATTGGGATCTAACTGTTGTTGTATTTTTTTACTTTGATTACTCAATTACTCTATTCCGTAATAACAAAAATGTAAAAAAACATAGACTATTGTACAAATTGTTAACAACAAAAAATGTTTAAAAAATTGTTAAAAAAAGAGATTAAAAAAACCAAAAAAAAGTGAAAAAAAACTTACTTGTTTGAGAGGAGGAGGCGTCACTGGAGGTGATGAGGAGGGAGACGGACGGCTGATGGATGGCGGACGGCTAGGAGGAGGAAGACGGACGGCGGACGACGAACAAGGGATGACGGACAGCTGGGGAGAATGAGGAGAGCCGGTGGAGGGAGAGAGGAGTCGCCGGCAGTGGTGGAGACTCCGGCAGTAGAGGGGCGCGCATAGGAGAGATCCGGAAGGGAGGTGGGAAGGGAGGCGGATGAGAAGACGGGTAGATTTTAGATCGAGAAGGGAGAGATTGGGAAGGGAGGCAGATGAGAAGACGTGAGAAGCTAAGGGTTTATGTCTGCTTGAGGAAGATGTTTGGAAGACGTTTTTAAGTGATTTGTCTTCTAAAAAACAAACAGTCTACGCGTCCCTAATGTCTGCCCGCGTCTGCACGGCGCAGACATAAGTTGTTAGAAGCTCTTCTCACCAAAAAACAAACACCCCCTAAGAGATAATATTGTCAAGCAATCAACTCATTTCTTTTACCAAGGGGGAGTAAAAATGTTATCACAATACAATTAGAGGAAAAATAAATTTTCTTCAAATATTTTCTAAATATTGTCAAAATAGGTTTGCACTTCTTTCCGTTGATCTTATCATTCTATTTTGATAGGGAGAGGGCTTTTGAAGAAACTTCACACTCCTTATTTAAAATATCACCCTTTTTGCTCTTGACAAATAGGGAAAGAAATGTGTGAACTTCAAAGTAAAATTAATTTATAAAATATTATGTGCTTCAAGAATAATCATCAAACACAGAGTGAGGAGTTTTTATATGCTATGTTTTAGGGGGAGCTTGCATGAATCCTTCACTCTCCTATAATCTCACTTTGAAGTAAATTATTTGTCAACATCAAAAAGGAGAGATTGTTAGCCTTGGTATGCTCACTCTCTTGTTTTGATGTTAACAAATAATTTAATTGAGCTAACGTTTGCTCAACTGTGTAGGAACGTCAAAATCCACTAAAACGTGTTGATTGCGTTAATACATTCGCTCACACAGGACTAGCATAGAATAGCTTAGAGTCATTTATTGTTAAAGATATTTGAGGGATACATCTCTAAGCTCAAGCTAAATTCCGCACACACACAAAAAAGATTTTCACTTGGGTATTTATTTTTAAAATATATTTGGTAAATATTTTCGAAAATCATATTTTCTAAAAGTAATTAACTAAAGTTATAACACTTCTCAATACGAGATCACAGGTTCTTGAATTACTCAATTTTGATTAATATTAAAAAAGTTATTAATAATTTACCAAATTTATTTTTAAAATCGCGCACAGGATACCGAACGGTCGATGCATTGAACCGTTCCTCCAGAACGGTCGACCGTCCTACTGACCTTTGGCGGATTATGACCATTACCCTGAACGGTCGACCGTTTCGTCAACAACGGTCGAGGTGATGGACCGTTCGGAGACCAGATTCCCCATTCCTTGTCTTTTTCACCCCCAACGGTTGGATTATCTTAATTATGGTATTAGGAGTTAATTATTCTTCTCTAACAGCTATTTTTCAATTGCAAACAACTCCTAATCCATCCCCATAAATACCAAAATCAATTCAATGTTTTAATTAATCAAGTTTTGCTCAAATCTCTTAATCCTTTTACTTAGTGTTCATATATCTCTGATTTTTATATTAGGCTATTAAGAGCCATTTTGAATATATTTTTTTGAAGACACATCGAGCTTGATGCAAAGAGATATACACTCATATCATCTATAAGAGAGTTGTAATTGTTAGAGTGTATAGATATTATCACACCAACCCGACTTTGTATTTTATATTCTTGAGATGGTGTTGATTCGTATTCAATTTTCATATTCCTTGTAATCGGTCGAAGATATCCGTTGCAAATCTTCATTGAACGGTTGGAGTAGATAGCCGTGGTGAAATCTCCGGAAGTGGTCAAGGATATCCGTGAAATCCTTGTTAAGACGGTTGGAGATAGCCGTTGCAAAAATATCTAGGTTGAAGACATCTTGAAAATCTTCGGTGCATGGTTGGCAAAGGTTTGTTTTCCAAAAACTGGTTCTGTCGTGACGTTCGTGTTGAGACGGTCAAGGCGTTCTAGTGGATTGGAAATACTTAATGAGGAGTCTTAAGGTACTGAAGTAGGGAGTTCTCGAACCAGTATAAAATCGGTGTGTCTTTTACTTTACGCTTTTATTTCTGCGTTTTATATATTGCTTCCGCATTTACCAACACTGTTTTTATCAAACTCTGAAAAGATTTTAAACGCCGTATCCCCCCCTCTAAGGCATGGGCACAACAACTAACACCGAATATCAATTTATTTGTATATATACCATTTTCATAAAGATACCAAAAATGACGTAGTTATTCGAACTTGTAAACATTGTGGGGCAACCATAAAAATGGGAACTTCCAAGGGTTATGGTGGATCAACCAAACACCTCAAAGTGAGGCACCCCGTGGAGTACGCCAAAATGATGGTGAAGAAGGGACAAGTACAAACTCAACTTTCTCGTTTTGCAAACCAGGGTAAGGGCGGCCTTTTTGTTTATAGCGACGAGCCAAATGAGCAAAATGGCCGAAATGATTTGTGAAAAAATGGCAAGTGAGGGTTGATGGCCTGAAGATGTTTGACTTAAACACTTGTCAATTTTGTTTATTAAAATTACAAGAATGATTAATATTGTTTTACAAGATGTGGCTTTTCTAGACCTACGGGAATAATCCGTCGTTGTTCAAAATGCAAACCTCGGTGAACCTCGAGGACTTAGAGTCGATTTCGGAGACTCAACAGGAACCAAGTGCACCAACCGGAACAAAAAAAGTGCATGCCGTCGGTTCCTAACGTATGTATTACGAGAGAAAACAAAACGAGATCAAAATTTAATATAATTTGCTTTAGTTTTTCAATTAATGTAATTTTTTTAATTTAATGTTTATATTGAATGCAATTTTTTTATTTTTTATTGAATGAAATTTCGCTATTTTATGAATTATTGTCGTTTACATTTAACTAATTAACCAGCATAGCTCGTGCCCGGTCCTCCACAGGAAGAAGCATGAAAATCGCGGCATTCCCGGTCGAAAGTACATCAGCAACGTACCGTTGACGGGCTTCCTCGTCTTCCATCTGACGAGCTACTCGCTTTAATTTACTTCCATGTCTTGCCCTACCAACCTCCGCCATTCTCTGCAAACCCGCCCAGCTCGCGCCCAGTCCTCCACAGGAAGATGGATGAAATTCTCAGCCAAATAATCGTCAGGAACCACCCGCTCCATGAGCGCTAAACAAATGGCGAGAAATGTGGGGATGGGTTGTATAGTGAAACAAATAAATATATATAAATGAGGTGGGTTAGGGTTTTCAAGTAATGCTTAACAATCCAGCTTATTTTATACTCTAACACGCATCCCCTCATTTCCCTTTCTATTGCCAAATTAAAAAGTAAACATTTACTAAATATTTGGCAATATCTCTTTTTATCACGAGTAACTAATATAATACATTTTTGTCTCAACACTCTTACTAAGCAGCACGATGTTTTAAATTGGTGGTCCTCTCTTACACATTGTCCTCTTCGAGTATCCTCTTCGATTAAAATATTTTTTGAAATGGTAATTTCTGGATGTAGGAAGATTTATTAAAAGTTAAATTTCTTAAATTATTAAATGGCCATCTATTTGGAATGATATATGATTTAATTTAACACTTTTTCCAAATAATAATTTCCGTAGGAATAAATTAAAAATGAAAAAATTATAGAAACCTTTTTAGTGTCTACGCATTAAACCATTTTTAATACCTCCGTATGAATGTAATATTTTAATTATTATTTAATTAGAATATTTTTCCAGATGGTAATTTCTCCTTGAATAATGTTTTAATTATTAAGTTTATTATTAATGATTGTGTACGTGAATGAATGAGCCAACACCTTCATCAATTTTTCCTTCAACCAAAATATTATGAAAAATTCCTTCCTATACTCTTTTTCATCATCATTATATATATATATATATATATATATATATATATATATATATATATATATGCTTTTCATTATATAAAATTAAGAACCACAATTAAAATAAAAAAAATATTAACTTACTCTTTTCTAAAGTCTTTAACTTCGTCTAAGTCTTCATTAAGCGCAACTTTACTCACATTATATAAGGTAGAAACATAGACTTTTTTTGAATTTTTAATAATCGCAATCGTTAGGCATGAAAGAATTTTATATAAAAAAATAGTGTTAATTTTTTTGTAAATAGTGATACCATTATATCGCCTAGATTTTACCATTTGCAAACAAAGAATTGGTGGATTTGTCAATCCTTCATTGAGCTCTTCGATCACTTTATCAATATGATAAGCCCACAATGTACAATCTAGACGGATACCCCTGAACAAAGATTGAATAAAGTTTTTAATAGTAGAAAGATGTAAAAAAATTAACATCAAATATGATACATTTATGTTTATGAATACCTATGGTCTTCCAATACAACCTCCATCATCCTCTAGAGAGCACATTTTACTATGCGTTCTTCTGCCATGGTACGACTAATAACTTTTCCTATTACATCTGTGATCAAAATAATAGTATATAATATTTATTTATTTTATTTAATGTATAACCGACTGATGGGATAATTTTCATTGGGCCTGATTAAAGATATTGGGCCGGTCCACGCAAGGAGCCCGCTAGGGAACCCTAACCCTAGGCTCCTACCTTGATGCTATATAAGAGACACATAACCAAGAAGAAGGGGGAGCCACCCTCTACATTCCACACATATTGTATTCTCTCCGTTCATCATCTTCTTCTCGATGGAGCTTCGAGCTCCATCAATGGCTATCACACCAATATGTTGTAC